GACCAGGGCTTTTCAGGAGCAATGAGGTACCTGAGCTCCAGGTGATAAATACAGAGGAAGATATGGGGACCGTTGCTTTCATCCATGGTGTTAAGTCTCTAAGCAATGGGCTGATGGTAGCTTCTGCAGCACAAGTTCACTCTGTGATGGGGTGGAAAGTTCATTGTTGTGCATAGCCCAGACTATGTCAGTCTCTTGCCAGGGTTTGTTAGATATTTTCACAGCTTGATGGTGAGAGATCTCTTACAATAATGACTCATAGTTCTGTAGACTAACAATTGTGTTGTATTCATGGAGACTGGGATTTGATGTGCAAGGCTTCCAAGACCAAAAACATTATCTAGATGCTAGCATTCATAAAAAGAAACATTCTCTTTTCTCTGACTTTAACAGACAAATTACATTCTTTACAATCTTAATTACAATAAAATAGCTCCTTTCTACCCATACAATGCTTGACTCAAGACACAATATTTTAGGAATGGTTATGTTTGATAAACATTGCCAGGTCAAAATCAGATATTGACATATTTATACCACAAATATTTTCCAACAACTGGCCTCCATTCCCCACGCTCCCAATTAGAAAACCTTTTTTTCTTTTATTTAGGATGGAAAATTTCTCATTCTACTTAATAAAAAATTCAGCTGGGTAATTAAAAATAAACAGGGCAATTAACAATGGAACAACTGGATACTTTAAAAATGTAGAAAGTTTGGAGAAAAAATATTTCTATTTCAGAGTTATTATTTCCAATAAGATTCAACTAACAACTGCCAAATCTAATTTGTAACTTTAGGAATGTTACAAAATGCTTCCCATTTAAAATTTTCAGGTACCTAACTAAACCAGGAGAAAACAGCATTATTGTTGCACTTTGTTACTAAGTAGTTTTTCTAGGTTGTAGCATCAAACTATTATGAAAAAGCAAAAGTACCAGAATAAGCGGGTCATATAGTGAATTATTATATCTAACTTGCAATTTATACTTCTTGGGGGAATGAATAATTGTCACAATATTTAGAATCGGATATAATTTAATGAAATTGCAGCTTAGGGAAAAATGTAAATTTTATGCTCAGCTAAGATGATGGACATAAAGATTTTGTCTTATTTTGATGGCATCATTGATCATATAGAAAAGCCTTCCTCCAAACTGGGATTTTTTGGCCATCCTGATTGGGAAGTTCTTGAAATAGTTGCTCCATAAATCTGGACAATATCAGTTAGGAATTCTGCACTGTAGGACCTACCAATTATATTTGGCAGATGTATGTTCAAGACACATAATTGTTCTTCATTTTTACAGTTTATCAGCATCTAAATTCTCTTTAAAAAGCATGACAAAGCAAATTATTGACAAAATGTTTCTTAATAGAAAATATTCTTGACTCAAAAGATTATCATCTAAGATTTTAGCTAGCTTTAGCAGCTAAGTATATCTTTGAAGAGCAGGCTAACCTACAGCTTTTCTTCCAGATTCACAGTAAGGTGAGGAAATTATGTATTCAGATATGCTAGGTTTCAAAGTACCCATCACTGCTTTCAAGTACCCTTGAAGCTCACAGGGAGTATCAAGATAAATGTTCTCACCTTTCTCTTACTTGCACTCATTAAATTATCCTTGTCACTGACATACGTATTCATGCAGACCTGCTACCAAAGTCTCCTTATTGGAATCTCGTATCTTCCATTTTCTAGATAGAATTTAAACATTCCATTTTAATGTGCTTCTACATATCTATTCCAATTTCTTCTCCAGAGTGCCTGCCTAGTCTGACATTATAAACTGCTATCTTCTATCGCTGCCTCATAATTTCACCACTGCAAATTTAAACATACAGGAAATGAAATCAGGGAAAATAGTTTATATTTTCTTTAAAAACTGAACGTAGTAGTAAAAGTGAGCATTAAAAGATGCTTTATACAATGCTCACACTTCATTGTGAGGAAAGAAAGTCCAGCTTCCTTAACTCCTATAAAGGCCACTACAGGGCATAATTTAGTGAAAACCCAGAGAACCCAGAAGTTGGGCCTTCTTATTTCCTTCCACCTGTGCTAGACAGAATTTGAATTCAAGCAAAAGACTAACAACATTCTCTGGTTTTTAAGAACTCTTTTCTTAAGGCTCTTTACTTAAAATTTGTTTGAAGAAAAATGCAGTGGGACTAATTACATAGAACATATTGTAACATTGACTTACACATACCTTTTAATAAAATGGTAATAAATCATAAGTAGGTTCACTAAGAAAGGAATAATCTGTCTATGCATCTATATAACATAATAAATTCTTGTTCTTCAAAAGCCAAAAAATCCTGATTTGGGATCGAACAAAAGTGAACTACCTTACCATTATTCTGTTTCATTAAGGTGTAGAATTCAGAAGCTCAGTAAATTATTAGCCACCTCTTGATAAAAGAGAACTTTTAACTTGCCATTAAGACAATAATAACTATTGAATGGGAGATACCAGTTGGAGTAAAACATACATAACTAACAAAATACTACTGCTGGTAATGAATACCAAAGGTTTATTTTAAAATTCTAACCATGAGTAAGGAGAAAAAACTCTCAAAATGCTAATATGTAAGTAGTTATTTTGGGGAGTAGAGGCAAAACACATTTCAAGTAGTGATTACATGAGTCAACTTTAACCACCAAGACTTTTCATTTTGAAAATCATTATTCTAAATGATCCCACAATCATATTTTCTACCGTACTCTATTCCTAAAGGATTAGAGAAATGCAAACAGGATTTTAAAAAATATTTCAACATGAAAAGCAAAGACTTTGCAGAGGTGAAATGTTCTGCACCCCACCTAACTAGTAAGCAGACACAGATAGGTTGGAGCGAGAAGATTATTGCATTAGACGGCTCTTTCATCAGAGCAAGCATAAGGCCTGAGCCCAAGATCAGACAAGCTCTAGCTGTGTTATTAATTGATATTGACTGTACAAGATAATGTATTATTTGAAAAGCAATATTTTTAATGAATTAAAGCCAAAATCCTAATTCACTGGCTCCCTAGGAGTAAGTAAAAATCACATGCTTACAGATATGACAGATTACACTGTAATCCTAAATGTTTATGGAGGGATGGTTTTAAGTTCACCCAGAAAAGCTGATTGGAGACTTTTCATAACCAAAAACCTGCTTCGTTGTTTTGAGCAATTGGATTTTCTCTTTCTAAGCATGCCCCATAACCAACCAATATGTTTCAAAGACTAGAATACAATGCCTCTGAAATGTGTTTCAAAACTAATATACTAGAAGAGATGAAATGGAAGAATAGAATGCTTTAGAATAAGATGGGCTCTTTGTAATCTTACAACCATTTTATATGTTCTTTGCCTACCAGTTTATAAAATTAGGTTAATCTTTTTAATTTCTGAGAAATTGGTAAAGTAATTGAAAATAATTTGCATGCTGAAGTTATATGGGATGAACAGGGTATAAGTAAGAAAAGATATTTGTCTTTCTGTATATGTACCGGTTTCTTTTAATATGTTCCTAGGAAAATTACTTCCCCTAACAGATTAGCTGCTTAGCACACAAGATGCTAACTGTTCTTAACTGCATCAAGTCATTTAAAATGGTTATAACTGGGAATCTGTTTGTCTTTTATTTGGTTTTGGGGCTGCAAATGTTTCATATTTGGTATAAAGTCACTCCAGGTAGAACTCAGCAGAGAAACCCAAATAAATATTAGATTTTTACTATTTAGTCACAACAGTGGGAGGAGTAGTGGGTTAAGAGATGAGGATAAGCACTGGCTTACCCCATATCCTTATATAAAATCCAATTAACAATGGCAAAATTATATGTCAACAGAAGATTTTAACAATCTCTGGGAGAAGTGGTTACCTTTTTCAGATTCATTAAGTTAGAGCAAAGCACCATATTAGATCACTCAAAGCAATCACACTGAAATGTAATATCATTGTAACAAATTCAAGTATCATATAAATCTGCAATGCTACTTTCATTATTTTTGCTTACAGCATGATGCATTTGCAAGTACGTTTGTTATTATTTACTTAGATTTGTTGGCCACTGAACTCCAATTCGTTGGTTGATTCAGAAACTTGTTTGTGAAAGTCTGAGCTAATGTGTAAGCTGTCCTGTGATAGCTGAAATTATTAAGCAAACTGTGTGAATGTATAGGTTATTTCATAGTTGTATTTTCATCTCTTCTAGCATACATGCTTCAATACCCATATATAGAATCAAATGCTGTCTGTCCCCAAAGGCGTATTTGAATCTCTTATAATGCTGAAATGTCAATGGAGGAAATCTATTTCTTAGTTGCCCTAATCAGAGCATGGGGCCAATCACACTCAAATAGTTTAGTATGCATCATTTCTTGTCTAATATTAATATCACTGGGTTTTACTAAAGATGCTTCTACAATATTTCTTCCTATCTTAGGATTTTAGAGACAATGATTTCAGTATTGACTGACAAATGGGTGAATCTCGGAAATGATGAAACAAATGCTACATCTCACATAAAACCCCCAATATTCTGAAAATTCTAGTTCCTTTCTTCCCACAGCAGTACTGCACACAATCCATGGGCAGGAGATCTAACACTGTGCTTTCTCCTGAATAAATGTTGAGTAAGTATGCCTCAAATCCAAACTAGCAATAGGCAGCACTATCACATTTTAGAGGAAGAGTTTTGCCATTTTCTACATCTACTTTCTTAAAAACAAAAACGATGTGACATGATTGTAAACATCTTCTGATCATCCCAGTGCTATGCTTGCAAATGTTGAGTCTACAACCTCAATCCTAATCATGTACAATACATTCACAAACAGAACTTTTGTTTTTTTTAAAGGCAATAGGTTAAAAAAAACTGTAAACTGGATTCCATCCCAAGCACACATATTAATACAAGTATTATCCTATATCTCCAGTCTTTCACCCTGAAAAATATACCTGAGTTTTAGCAGTTAATGAAAGTTTCAAGTCCTTCAAACTTTCCTTAAACCCTGAATGAAATAAACTCTCTGATCAGAAACAAAGCCCTAATATGAGACCCTCTCTCTTGATTCACTGTGGGGTTGTTTGTGACAGGCATACTGCTGGCTCAGACTCGGGATAATTCCACTGTCAATTGGGCACTGTGTTGCACAGGACCATGGAAGCCAGATGATGCTAGGAAAGAAGGCAAGAATAGAAAGGATGTTCCCTTTGTCCATATGTACTCATGTGTGGCTCCATCTTCTGTGTATTCTTCCTTCCTTAGATTAGCTCTAGAAAAGATAAATGAAAGCAATTAGTACAAGTTTCAGAAAGATTAAAAACTTGAAAATAAAAAAAAAAGGGCACTAGGTAATATCACAAATCTGTGAGTGTGTTTGACTTGTCTGGTTTTGGCTTGTAAAACAGTAGCTTCAGGAGCATGTAAGGAGGATAGCATTATAACTTCCTTTATAGGGGATGCAAAGAGCAGTGTTACGGTTTGAGTTTAGCGGTATCCCATTTCTCTGGAGGAGAAGATGCTAACCTGGCTACCTACTCGCATATTTCCAACAAATGAGGTTCACTAAATATACTCAGGTATTTAAGGCAGATATCCTAAAAATTGGTCCTACTGATCTTGGGTATAAAATTATATTGTTAATATACAACCCAGTTGGCTTTTAGACCAACAATTTCAGATAAATCTAACATGGCATTAAAATATTTTATACTAATTTAACTCAAAGTCCTTGACAAATCATGCAGCAGCAAAACCATCAGTCCTGGAAAGAAATATGTCGAGAATGGCCAAATAGTGATTTTTTTATTGATTCAATAGTAAGCTGGATGACCTGTAATTCAAGCCTTGCTTTTTTCAGCAGTTTACGAAGTTTTTTTTAAGAATGCCACAGCCTCACTCTTTCTGTCTGTCTTAGCTTTACGCTAAAACCTGACTTCCGGTGGTGTCCTCCTTGCTAACAGAACGGAGACCACGATCGTCCACGGCTTCGATCCGTATTCTACCATCGGAGGGCCCTGATCATCAGTTTCTGAGGCCGAAACCACCCTGTAGGGGCGGTGAAGAAGGGGGAGACTGCCAGCTGGGTCAAGGGGAGCTGCATCTCCCCTCCTTGGCTAGGCATACTCCACTCCGAAGTTGGCTGCAGCGGTGGTCAAGTATGGCCACCCTAAAGAGGAAGAGCTAACTGGGACAAAGATTGTGCAGGAGCAGTGAAGCATGAAACTCAGGCTAATCAGGTGCAACAGTTAAACATAAGGTACCCCGGAATTAAAATCTTAAGAATTTTTAAAGAAAGATAATAAAAGCGGCAACCAGAGAAAGTGAAGAAAAAAAATTTTGACAGCTGAAAGTGGCTTTGAACTTTGAAAGGAGGAAGCCAGAAGAAGAGATCTGTTTAAATTGGATAAATATATGATAAATATCCTCTTAAGGAGAGGATTCTGCAAGGGTGCATGGGATAGCATTGTTATATTAGAAATAGAAAAGGGTTAGAAAATATGTTTAGATGATTAAAGTAATAGGAAAAATTTGTATTGACGTGAAATATAGATGATTAAAGTGACAGACAACTGATATTACTAGGTAATGTTTGTTAAAAGAAATAGAAATGTAAAAGATTGTTATTAATATTAATGGCAGAGCTGTACTTGAATACAATAATTATTCCATTTACTATTGTTATACATACATACACACACACACACACACACACACACACAAACATACATATACATACATGTATGTATGTATGTATGTATGTATGTATATATACACACACACTTGTTTCCTTACAGAATTTAGTGTGTATTTTTAAGGGAATGTACCAAGCAGAATTCGACTGAAAATAGGTATGTGTTATAAATTAGAGGTTAAAAAATGAATGTTATAACTGTAAAGGTGTAACTTAAATTTTTAAACAAGATTTGAAAAAAGATACAAAGGTGTTACACTCCAGTCTAGTAATTACAGAGGAAAATTTGTTTTATGAGAAAAGATAATATGACATTGTAAACAGACAGATGAAAGTATAAAAACATTGATTAGAAAGATTTTAAAAATTAGAAAAAGATATGTAATTGAATTAAGAAAGGAATGAGATAATTTAAAATAAGGCTATAGGAAGTAAAAAAAGGGAAAAGCTATTGAAAAAATTGCGAAAATAGTTATAAGGTATGGATTAGAATGTATAAGATAAATATGTATTGAGTTTATGTCTGTATGGAGAAGTGATAACCTGGGGTCACACTGTTCTCAAAAAAAGATATTTTATTTGTATTTGTATGTTTTGTGAAAATTTAAATAAAACTTTTATAAGAAAAATAACCAGGGAATAAAGAAATATGGAAATTGAACAAAACTCAAAAGAAATTGTTTATTTAAAAGACATAGAGATAATGATTAAATAAAGATTAAGAAAGGGGATTCTGCAAGGTGATAAGGTATTGCATAAATGTATTTGAAGTAATACATTATTTAGAAAGTACGAAAATATAGATTTTTAAAATGGAAAGATTGGAACCGATATTTTCTCGTTATTAGAATACTTTTTTTAACTAAACTATATATAGAGATAAATGGAATAAATGTGAAAAAAGAAAAATTATTAATTATGTTTAATAAATTTAAGAATATAGTTGAAATGAATTATGAGGATTGCTGTAATGAGATTAATATCAGTTTTTATGATTAATTGAATAGATTAATTTTTCTTTTTGAAATTATAAATGATTTGACGTAATTGAAGGGGAAAGTGCCATGTAGAATCTGACTTAAAAGGTATATGTGTTATGTAGTTGTTATTAATTCATAAGGTGATAATTAAAAAGTTAAATGATTACTGGGATTTAAAGAGGAACTAACCAAATGATATATAAGGTATAGGCGTGGCACACTCTAATTGGTAATTATGGAGGAAACTTTTTTGAAATGTTTGAATTGAGATGGAATCTTTGAAATGATGAAATAAGAATATGCAATGAAATTGCAAACCTGACAGATAAAAGTACAAAGCACAATGAAGAGATGAGGATTATTTAAAATTAAAAGAAATAGGTTAAGGAATGAATTGAAAATATATACAGTAAGTTTGAGGAAAGTATTTGAGAAATAATAAAAAATATGTAAATTAATGATAAAATATGAAACTAGATGTGAAAGATGAGTATGTAATTAAGATCATGTTTGTATGGAAATGTGAAAACCTGGAATCATGCTGTTCACTAAAAAAAGATGTTATTGAAATGTGGAAAAATAAAACTTTTTATAAGAAAACAAAGCTTTATGCTAAAACCTATAACTATAAGGATTTTAATGATAGGGCGCCTTACAAATTATCAAGAGGCACTGTGAATAATCGAAAATGCAATATCAACTCTAAGAATTATTGTTCCTCAGTAGGATGTTGACAGGACAGATAAGCAAAGAACATTGACAGTGTATGCCGAGAGTAGATTATCCCAGCAGGGTCACATAAGGTATGAAAGGCACTCTAACTGCCAGTTAAACAAGCAGGTGCCTGTGTTGAATTGCAATGATACATAAGATGTTGGGCATGGAAGATTACTTTAGTGATAAGAGTAAAAACATAATTTTATAAAATAGTAAATTACTCCTGTACTTTACCAAAGAAACACATGGATAGAAAATATGATTAATAATGACACAAAATTATGGGCTCCTGAGTTTGGATGGCAACATGCTATTGAGGAAGGACTGAGGACCTTTCATAGTATTAATGGTGTTTATGATGAGGCTAGATTAAACCTTTGGGGTGTCTAGTTGATGATGTTGCCATGCAAGGAAAGAAAATCCAAAGATGCAAAGACAAAATTACAGTGAATAATTAGAAGCACAAACAAAGAAATGCTCAACACAGAGAAAGATCATGTGAATCAACTATACAGGGACATCTTAGGCATCAGTGAACTGAGATAGACTGGAATTACATAGAAATATATACCTTTGGATCATTTACCCCAGTAAATAAATGAACAAGTACAATGTTTTAAATTCCTTTGTTTAAATTGGGTTCTCATGTTTTAAATCATATTTAAGCAGAAATACTGAAAATTCAAAAAGAGCTCACAAACTTTTAAGCACCATTGCATGTTGTAGCTAAGAGTCAACACCAAGTTGATGATAAATTCAATCATTCAACATATCCTCTAGAAAGCATCTTATTTACTAGATTAATAACCTTAGCAAAATGCATGCAGGTTGACCTTTACTTCCCACTTAGACAACTAGAAATCTCAAATCTTTCATACAGAAACACCATGCTATTATTTATTTCTACTTACTTGATCTAGAGGCAATGCTGGTGGTTTTCGTGGTTGCAGCTCTTCCAGAGTTGAAGTTGATGTAGGCACCTTTGGGAATGGAGTTTGTGGCTGTATGTGCACTCTGAAATCACAGAAAACAGAGAAAGAACTATAGTAACCACATACCTTTTCATAAGTATCTTTAATCCAAAAATAATTAAGGCATGGCTATGTGTTAAGATTTTCTGCAGAGAGACAGATTCACCTGTTTGATTACTCATCAGCTTTTAATTCATGTATCAAGGTATTCTCTTGGACTTTCTTTATAAGTGGAGGACACTGTACTTAGTGGTTCCACTGCAACTTCTGAGGACAGTCTCAGTAAATGGTGTTTTATCAGTATGACTTTGTATCCTGGCAGCTATGCTGCAAACTGCCATAAGGCTCCAACGTTATTTAACATCCCAACAAAACCCAAAAAGGCCATCGGAGCTCTGGAGCTAGACACCATCAAAATGTTGAACACCCATTTGTATTTCTTCATAAGACAGACTATATATTTCTGAAGCAAAATATGAAGACACTTATAGAATAAACGAGGACCAATAAATTGAGTTTAATGACTCAAGCCCTATGATAGCTTTAAATGGGAACTAGAAAATGTACCTATTGCTCATGAGCTTGCAATTCCTGAGAAAGAATAGGCATGTGAGTCCCAAGATGTTGTTGTTGTTAAATTGCAACTGAGTGTTTAAGTGACCTCTATACAGATAATTCTCAACTTTTGACCACAATAGAGACCAGGAAAGTTGTTGTTAAGTGGTCTGGTCATTAAGTGAGGCATCATGTAACCACTTTCAATTTTACAACATTTTTTGCCATGGTCATTAAGTGACATATTATGTGACCGCAACTTGTGACTTCCTGCTGGTGATGATGCCTATAATTACATTGTTTGGTTCCTTTTGAAGATCTATCTCTTATTAAGGCTTTCCCTGTATGAATATTTTTGGCTTCATTTTTGTTTCATTTCTCTCACTTTTTAAATTATGTTTTAAAAAATACTGTTTTAACTTACTGGTAGCATTTTAATAATTTATTATAAGTAACTGGACATTTTAAATAATGAAAGTTTATATAAAATTGTATTTAGTAACAACACAATTCCACACTTACCCTGGTGTTCTGTACACATCTGTACGTTGCCCTCCCAGGTTAGTTTCACGTCCTGCTTGTTCCATCATTAAGGCCTGAAAGTGTCCCACATTCTCATCTTGGCAACGGTACAGAGGTCCTTCATGAGCAAGACCATTGGATTGATTGGTAGCTTGATGATGTGACAAGTGAGCATTCACTGTTGCCCCATAACCTCTGGCCTGGAAGTGGGCGGCTGGATGTCGTGATGCATATGGTGACGTCGTCTGCAGCATGATGCCATGGGGTGGGAAAGGGCCAAATCCAAATGCAGAAGAACTCACCGACGGCAAGGAAGTGCCGTACAAATACTCTCCTACCACAACTGATCTTTGCCTCTTGGTTGTGGCATTATGGTTGTCCAGATCAAGGAATTCTTTGGGACTCTCAGGCCTTTCTTGGGGCTCCTCTGCTTTCTCAGATTCAAGGGACAGTTCTTGTCCGTTGGCTGAATCCTCTTTGGTGCCTGCTATATCTGTTTGATTTGGGGAAGCCAAAGTGGCGTTAAGCACTTCACAGTTCTGCATGCCACTGCCCACTGTCCCTCTGTCTGAGAAAGGGGGTCTGGCCATAGAGGACTGGGTAGGTGAATGCCCAGAGGGGCTTGATGGGTGAGGGAAAGGCTTCTGCCAGTCTGAATAACCTTGTGGACAAGTATAGTAAGGAGGCTGCTGGTAGTGATGATAAGGAGGCGGCTGAGGATGATAAGGGTATGGCACTCCCTGATGAGAACGATAGCGAGGGTAAGTGCCATGGGAACTGTTGCTAGCATGAAAGCCTCGAGCAGAAAAACGTGAGTGAGATATTGAAAGGGGTTTTGCTCCCATTATAGCACTAAAACCTTGAAATCCTGAAGTGATGTGGTATTGTGTGGCTGAATTTGGATATTCCATGTTGGGCATATAAAGAGGGGCAAATTGGCTGGAGGTGCCCCCTATTGGATTTCCATCCACAGTAGCAGGAGTACTTGTGCTCTGTCCCATGCAAAGCACAGTTGCTTCTAGCGGATTTCCACCTCCAGTGCAATCAGGTTTTTCTGTAATATTAGCAGGTGCACCTTTCCCTTCATTACCACCAGATGACCCTTCACCTATAGCATCATTTTCAGACATTGGTCCTCTCTCCATAGCTACTACAATATCACCTAGACAACTCTGAGATACAGAACTTGTATAGCTATTCTCTGCTGGCCATGTACTTTTGTTTTGTGTTGCTTTTGAGCTGTTCTTAGTGTCAGAATTATTTCCCTCCCCTTCCTGTGTTAAATTCTGCCGGGAACAGTCCATTTGCAATGGGACTTTAGAATGAGGTAGCAGTTTGGGGTATGTCTCTTCTGGAAGACCCTCAGTTTTCGGATTCACTTCTGCTGGAAGCTCTAATGCACAAAGAAAACAGAGGCATTTTACAGGAAAAGATTTAATTCAAATTTCTTTCATCATATGAACTGACACCTCTAGTATATATACTGGGCTCTAATTCTCAGTATCTGAGACACAATATTAACCTAGGAATTCACAATTTGTTTAGGAAATGAATTTACAAACTTTTCCAGTTTATTATTAACGTGCACACGCATATGTACATGCAATGAAACACTACAATAAAGAGGGGCTGGGAAATTTAATGTGAGTCTGCCTTAGTGGATATCAGAACCAAACATATAATTCAGTTAATACCACATTTGCATACTGCTGAGTGTCACACTATCACCAGTTGTAGAAAGTTGTAAGTAGAACAAGAATATGAGGAGCATAATATAGAATAAATCTCCCAAATTTCCTTCGCAATTATAGAACAGCAGATAAAAGAGAAAAATCTTACGCAAGTCTTACCCAAATTATAGCTCTCCAAATTGGTTAGAACTATAGTTTCCATGGACTATACTTCTTAGCTCAATTTGCTTCATTGCAATGGGGAATTAATAGCATATTAATATTTAATCAGTATTTATGCATGGCAAAGCATCAAAGCTGACAAATACCAAAGAAAATCCCAAGGACAATAGTAGTTTCTAAATAGGTCCACTGCATTATATAACAGAGCAATTACCCCCCAAGACAGCATGCAGTAGTCATCATTTAGCCACAGCGAAACAAGAATATATAATTACCTTGATTGTTCTCTGAATTAATTCTCTGGCTGCCATCTTCAGAATTCCCATTCCTTAATACTGGTTTTAGAAGCTGAATATTAGCAGTTGCTGCATGAGTTAATTGTGGGAATGGTCCAGATAATTGTGAGGGAGGAGGCTGATGTGGGTGATAAGGCACGCCGGGTGGGCATACCCGGGAGGACAACTGCTGCATGGCAATCATCTCTGGACTGTCCATCATGGAATCCCCACCCTGGGCTCCTCTCTGAATCTGAGAGATAGACCCAAATAATGAGGCAGGAAGCTGCTGCTGTATTCTTTGACTGGAGGCTTTTCCTGGATGCCGGATATATCCTGAGGGTGGAACTCCATGAGGTAGGAAATTAGACTGCTCAGACCATTGATTTGGGGGCAAAGGTTGTCTCACAGTCCGAGGATCCATTATGTGGCTCAAAGCATGGGGCAATATAGGAGAGCAAGGGCCCACAGGAGATTTCTTGTCCATTCCCAGGGCTAGCTGGTTTGCTGCATCATGGTTTCCATTCCATACAGCAGGATATTTATAGGATCTGTAAATATGGCCAGGGGGAAGCTCTGAAGTCTCTCCTTGTCTCATAGGAGGTCCATTGTGTCTTGAAGAAATAAATCCAGGCTGGTATTGCCCAGAAGAATACATATTGGCATCTGAGGGTGGGCCACTCATTCGACCAAGTTGCAAAGATGTAGAATGTAGTCCGACTGTGGAAACATGCATTGATGCAGCACATCCTTGCTCCTCTGGAGCTGGAAGCCGAGATCCTCTATGATCATTCAGACCAACTGGAGGCTGGAAACAAATATCATTCTTACCACGGACATATTACGCAATGAATTCAAAATATAGATAACTAAAAAAAAATACAAAGTAGATTGCACATCTGTTATACTCAGTATTATGCAAGGTATAGCCTCTAAAACTCAGTGTTAGAGTAGCTAATGTACCCACACATACTCAAGCAGTAGTTGTTACCAAAAAGAATGACAATGTTCTTTACATAGGTCTGTTTTTGAAAATAGGGTAGAGACGTTCAACTGCCCAGCTTTTCCTGGGATCAGGAAAACTGAAAATTTAGTATCATGCAATGGCCATTGATACATTTCCAAGCCTGATTAGTATTATCAGTATTAAATTTTAATTGGCTTGAAATCAAGTTATCTTAGATGCAACCATTACTTACGTGATCTTCAATGTATACTTGTAATCCAATTAGTATGTCTATCAGTAAAAACAACCTTTGCATTTTAACTTAAATTATTAAAACCAGGATTCTCCCAGATTTAAAAAAAAGAATTTGAATCTTTAAAATTATAAGCAAAGCTTCTAGAATCTGAGAGGATAAGGAAACCCCAATCATGGTTAGAATGAAGCTATCCATATCAGAAACTCGTGCCATCCACTTCTCACAGCAATAATATTTTTCTATTTCTAATTGCAGAGCAGATGCAAATGGACAATTATGCAGCATCATAGTTTGTGTTTAGGATGGACTCACCATTTCTATACATCCAACCTGTATAGGTTTGGAAATATCATCCCAAAGACTTCCAAATCTAACTTGGAGGAATCTAGGCACACTTATGCATGCAATGTTTGTATGAGTCTGAGAATGAATGAGGTGGTCTACCATTGAACCTGTCCACCTCTATGTAAGTCCCTCAGAAGATTCCCTAAAGAAACAAACTCCTCATACTTGAAAAACATCCTCCATCCGTCCAATACACCTTGCAAAATCTTTCCATCCTTCTTTCTCCTGCCCTTTCTTCATTTATTACGGTAGACATTAAAAAACATACAACTTTAGAAAAAATAAAGAGATCTACAAGCAGTATAAAATTGAATAAAATTAGATCAGTACATGCAACATTTACTGTATTGATTTTAAAACTAGTATTAGGATCAAGTCAATATTCAATAATTTACAAAGCTAGTAAAATATAAACAATCAATAAAAGGTTCTGTCCAATCTCAAAATTCTATCTTTATTAACAAATCAAGCAGAAGCTAATGTATTAAAATCTTATACTAAGAGAAACCCAAAATTGGATGTCCTTAATGTTTATTGTCTGATTGGCCTTCACACACTCATCCCCAAAATCTTACAAATAAATACACAATTATAATAAAACATAGTTAGCCAAGTAGTTATTTCTCACTTGTAAACATAAAGTAGGTAATTACTTATCATAGATTTAAATGTAATCTTTAGATGTTCAGACAGAAGCTTGGCTCATATGTTTCTTACCTGCATGGCAAAGTGCTGGTGCTGCTGACCTGGCTCACCAGGATGTGGTTCTGGTACTCGTGGTGATCCATATGGTTTTGCTGGATCAGATCCACGCAGAGAATCAAATGTTCCTGGAATAGGTGGTCTCTGGACAAGAAAATAAAATTGTCTGTGAGACTTGATAGGCATCTTGACAGGAGATAAAACAGAAGCAGAAAAAATTAAACAGATACGGGAACAAAAATGCATTCCATCTTAAAATAATTTTTTTCTGATGCTTCAGCTGCTGTATCTACAATATTCTTCTTCCATTCTTCCAAAGCAATAAAGATTGCCTCATTTTTAGATAGAACATGGGGTGACGGGGATCCGATTGTATGTGCTCATTTTTTTAAAAAAAAGACTGTTACAATGCTCATGCTGAGGAGGAATAATTCACCACCTTATTTGAGAGTATAACTGATCATTGTATTAAAGATTAAATTGGACTTTTCTCTTCCAGTTGAACATATCAGTGATCTAGACTGTAATAGAGAGTAAAATACAAAGAACGTAGTTCTGCTTGCTTATTGAATTATTTGAAGCAACACAGTCCATCACTACAGGCCTGAAATATATTTACTTGAAAGTGGGTATAAAGAAATCCATGAAATGACTGTATAAGATAGTATTTTTGTTCAAATATTTAATCATTCATTTATTTGTAACTGAACTAAGTTTAAAGACTAAAAACAATCTTCTGGTCCTCGTACTTTTCAGGAATAGGTACACCATGAAGAAAAGAATAAGCAGTGGAAATACTAGAAGACTGTGGTGTAAAGGACAATGTAACAAGCAAATGGAAAAACTGAAGTTAAGATTCGGTGACTAATATTATTAGTCTGTGCAAATGAGTATTTTCTTTTCTTGCTAGACTGATACTTACTATGTGCCCAGAATGGGATGCACAACTGGGCATTCCACCATAGTGATGTGAATGCAGAAAGCCTCGGCCATTAGAAGATGCCATCTTTCCAGACAATTGAACTGGCTGGCTACTTGAATCTTCTGCTGAGGAAGAGATGGATAATGAGGAAGAAATGGGAACACGATGTTTTGCTTTATGAGGGGGAAGTTTTCCTCCATTTTGTACATGTGGTTGTTTTCTGCCAGATCCTTCAGAATCTCTGGATCGAGTCCAAACATTTCCTGTACTGGAACGTATGGTCCGACGGCATCTTTTCTCACGCTTCACATCCTCTCTGATCCAAAACTCGTCATCTGTGTCTCCATCTTCTCCAGGAAAGTGCTTCATCATTGCCCGATGAAAGCACCTCTCCAAAGTATAAGCCATTTTAGTATAATCTATATTTTAAAAAGCAAATGAACAGTCTCATAGGTATAAGTTCCTTGGTACTGACATTTCTTTTCTAATTAGATACTACATTCAGAATCTAGATTATTCTCTATTTGTTGGGAGGAAAAATAAAGACCAACACTTGGTGAAAAGCAAATAGGAATAAATGATCAGGACATACACATTTATTACCATCACAGTTCCCAATCCCTTTTGTAATGGTAAGTCAGTGGTTTCCTATTTCAACTTTAGTTTCTGTCACATCATAGATATCAGCTACAGAGAAAAAATAACTTTTGGAAGTAGTTTATTTTTATATTGTATGTACAAAATGCATTTTTTCATATATTTATTGTGAATGAATAATTATGTGCTTTTTCCTCTCCTATCTATGAGAGATTTGAAAATATATGGGGTGTTCTCCAATTTACAGGCATCTAAGTGAGTAATTTGTATTTCTATATTCTTACCACTATTTTCACCATTGTATTTAAGGCAGTTCCTGAACATAGTTTTCATATCGCCCACAAATTCCTCCTTGGTGTAGTATTGGCCTCCGTTTAGCTTTTTCTCCATACTGGAAATATCCATAGGAGCCTGAAAATATTACAATGGGGAAATATACACCCTCATATTTTATCAGATTATTATTATGGCAGATTCTGTGCTATCCACTTATAAGAAAATTTATTGTTTACCTTAATAATCTGGTAGTAATTTGGAGCATATGATTCATCAACTGGTTCTAGGAATGGCCAGGAGTCCTTGTGAGCTTTTACAACATCTAACACTGTTAAGAAATAAAATTGAATAATGTGTTATTTATACAAATAGAAGTCCATATTTTATGAATACACAGATTTTCCGAAGCTTAAACCTGGATTTAAGCATAAAACGAGGACCCAGATTGTTGTGGGCAATAGACTGATTTTGTAAACCCCTTAGAGAGGGCTGTAAAGCACTGTAAAGCAGTATAAAAATGGATTTGGAACTGACCTTTGTACATGGCAGTGAATTCATCATCCAATTCAAAGCTGTAAAGATGAAATGCAAAAATAAATACAAAGAACCTCATCTTTCCATCAACTCTCGATTAATAAAAATGTTTCCATCAACTCTCAATTAATAAAAAATTAAGCATTAAATATTCAACTCCAGCAAATTGCAATTGCCTTTCCAATGCAAATAATTCCATTCATTTTCTATAACTCTCCTTCCTATCCTTCTTTGGCTTAAATATTTGGGTAAGACTATAAACCATGAAAAATGAAAAACCCATAATAAAATAGAAATATGATTAGTAAAATAAAAATAAGTAAACTGGATGTGTAAAATATCATGGAATTTACAGTTGCTTAGTGTATCCTTAGTTACTCATAAGCTTTATGATATTCTTTCCTGTCTCTAACATAGGAAGTGATAATTGCTTTACAAATGGAATTATATATTTGTATTTATGGAGATTTTGTATTTGTATTTAATATACTTACAAGTCCTTAGTTTTCTCCTCCCTAGCTGGTGAACTGGGATCTAAATGGGAAAGCTCAACGGGAAGCTCCTTTCCCTGGGCCAGCAGCCATGCCCTCTCTTCTCGAAGTTTCCTTCTCTTGGCTCGTTCTGCTCATGGAGAAGAAAGTCATTACATTCCTAAAAAAGCTTTCTTGCCCAAAAATCCAAGGGGCTGCTCAACTGCGGGAAGGCAAATCTAGAATTAACAGTTTCTCTCTTTTATTCCTATAGAAAAAAAGTGTACAAATACTATATATGCGAAGTAGGCTATTTTAAACATCTCAATATGGAGTAAAGAGATATTTTAAAAGAGCAATAGAAAATAAATGTAGGAAAAATGATTAAATCTGGATGATACACAGTGGCACAGTGGTTAGAAGACAGTACTGCAGACTACTTCTGCTGACTGCTTGGCTGCCTGCAATTTGGCAATCTGAATTTCATATCCTTCCATGTTCAGTAAAATGAGGACCCAGATTGTTGGGGGCAATAGGCGGACTGTAAACTCCTTAGAAAGGGCTGTAAAGCACTGTAAACAGTATAAAAAAATCTAAGTGCTATTGCTATTTATCTTAATGGTAAAAAATATTAAAATTCTTGTCTTCCTGAGGTCAATGAATCATATTTTGATCTTACCACTGCTATACTGAAAAGGATCCCATAAAAATATCTTGAATACAGCAGTGAGTTATAAAATAGGGTAATGAGGCCACTAACAGAAGAAAGTAAAGAAGTAGAGAGTCTGTTTAATCTTTCACCTTCACACCTCACAACTTCAGCATAAGTGGCTCAAAGTCTACTTTCCTGCACCCATGACAAATGTTTTCAGGCTCTCCTTTTTTTAAAAAAAATTGCACACTTTATTTCAGTAAGCTGATCCACATGCCTTCAACAGCCTTGACTTTTTCCTCCATTTCTCGTTTCCTCTCCTCCTTCAGCATTTGTTCCTGTTCCTTTTTCTGAACAGCCAAAAGAATCTGACGTTCTTCCTCTTCTTCTCGACGTCTCTGCTTCTCCATTCTACTAAACACGATTGGAGACATCTGAAGAAAGTCATATATCTATTTAGTTATTTTATTCCTATTTTGTTGCTGTCCAAAGAAGTGGTGTTGAGAATTTTATCTCTGAATTTTATCCTTAAAACTGTGAAGGTTAGATATTAATATGCCAAGATGAGTTCTAAAGTACCTCAAAGCCACATTTGCTCATGCATCAAAAGATCCTAACCCAATATCCCACTGGTCCTTTCTGTCACTAAAGGCAATTGGAGTTGGTATATTATTTCAATATTTCAATATTATCTCAAGAAAGATTAGCAGATTTCAGTGATCCATACTTTGAAAATGAGTTAAAGACAGCAGGGTCTTTGAAAATAGGGCAGAAACTTCAAGTACTATATCCAGAATGTGGTAACAAATGTATGACCTGGGTACAGGTATTATTAACTGTAGTAGATCACCAGCAAATTGCAGAGCTCTTTAGAAGCATTCTTATGTATGATTTCCTTGGTAAATGGGGATGGATATTCTGAAAGGCCTTTTCAGTGAGCCTTTCACTGTATTTATAGAAAATATTCTATAGAGATCCTGTTAGTAACAGTTTATAGTTTTCTCTGGTCCTTTAAATGATGCTATGGGTAAACAAAATTGTAGTTATATGTTTTTAATTCCTTTTGTCTATTGTTGTTATTCTGCTTGAATTGCTCTTAATTTTATTTTTAAAAAGCGCTATATATTATTTCATTCTATTTTATTTTCTTTAAATTTATTGTTTTGTCTTTTAGAGTGGTCTATATAAAGCATACACAAATAAAACCCATTGTACTGGGCATTCCCATTCTAAAGAGATTTCTTACCTCTGGATATATTGGGTTGATGCTTTGACTATCATTTGTCCACCTGGGAGTATATTCTGTCTGTTGCAGACGCTTCTCCTAAAAGGCAGTAAAGTTAGGATCAGATCAGCAAAGTCCCTGCTATAGTTTATTACAGAACTCTAGAGTATAGAAATAACTTCAAAATTCAATCCTAGTCTATCAGAAATGACAGGCCTAAGATTTCTGAAAACAGATGAAGAGCAACATCCAAAATACCACTGATTTAACATGCCTCTAGGGTTGGCAATTATCTTCCACAACTAATGTGCACCAAGATACCCTGCAGACCAGCCAGATGCTGTAAAGACAGGTCTCTTTGCCTATCTATTGTAGTTAGTACTTCTCTAAAAAAGAATGTGTCAAAACAAGAAATGTATATTTTGCAGATATGTATCTGACAACAACAAAAACACATGCTCTCTGTCCAATAATTATTAAGAGAATGGGTCTGGGGTGGGGGGGAAATAATGCAATTATCCACTACGAAAACACAGTATTATTTACAGAAGGTCATATAATGTTTATTCCTCAAAGTATCTTTATATTATTTATCATGTGCTAAAGACACACTTTTAAAGACCTTCAACTTTAAGGCTATGGAGAAAAGTCTAAAGACATATTGGTTGATGCTTCTGAAATTCAAAGAGCTGGTATAAATACTCCATGAACCAAATATTATTTATTAATTATTTACACTTTCTGTTCCTCTTCAAAACACTCTATCTTTTTCTCTACTGGGTGCATATAGCAGATTCTGTGAACCCTGTACTAGCTATTATTTTTTTTTGATATAGGTAGTAGTTGACAGTCATTTAACAAAAGTTCGGAATTACAAAAATACTGAAAAAAGTGACTTAAGACTTATCATCAAAATTATGACTATTGCACCAATCCCTGTAGACATGCAATCACAATTTCAGTGCTTGGTAAGTGGCTCACATTTATGAGTAGTTGCAGCATCCTGTGGTCACAATTACGATTTACTACTTTCCCAGCTGGCTTTTAACAAACAAAGTCAATGCGAGGAAGCCAAATTTGCTTAAAGATCATGTGACTTACTTAATGACCGAGAGATTTACTTAACAGCCATGGTAAAAGGGTGGTAAAATCAGGTCCAAACACGTGATGACCACACTGTTTCACAACTAAAATTCTGGTCCCAACTGTAGTCTGAGAACTGTCTGGTGCTGTTGCTGGTCCTGACCTCTAAAGTCCTTTACAGTTTGTGCCAAAATTCTTACAGGATGACCTTCTCCAATATCAGCCTGAGCTATCAGAACATCTAGGGAAACGCTTCTTATACTGCTACATTTCTGTGCTTTGAGACTGAAGCTAAAAGACATGCTTTCTTTTGGCAACACTGTTGTTTTGGAATATCTTCCCCACAATGATACCAAGCTATCTGGCTCCCAGCTAGTTTTTAAGGAAACATTAAAATTTGAATTATTTCAAAAGCATTTTCTCCTTAGATTTATAGTTATTTATTTTTCCTTATTCCTTATTCTTATCTTTATTATTGTATTTTATGTTTTTTGATTGGGTATTTTAGACTACTATTGTTGTGATTGAAATTGGTTTTAATCTGTCCATGAATATGTTATTTTTTCTTTGTTATGTAGTATGTAAGCTGAATGTCATTTAATTATGGCAGAGTAAAAGTTTATAGATAAATTTTATTAACTGTGCTGCCATTTCAATATTTATGGATACACTGGACATTTTCCTTCTTTTAACTATTTTTGTAAAATATACATTGCAAATTGGGAAAATTAATATCATTTGAATAATTTAGCAAAACTTTATATTGGTTGTCTAATCTGGTTCCCAACTGCTTCACAAACACATATTTAAGAAATTATTTCTTACCTTTTGTGTAATCATATTGCAAATCTCTGGTAGGAAATCTTCACTCAGGAGTTTATAAAGCTGCTTTTCTCTTAAAGATGTTCTCTCTCGGAAGCTTTCTGTAACCTGCCTCCACTCCTCTTCTGTCTGGCATATTAACCGCCATGTTCCATGGCCCAATCCTTGAGAAACTTTCATAATGGGATAATTTCTATTAATCTGACCATATAATTAATCATATTATTTATATAATTATGATTCAAATTTCTCTATGTCGCATTTTGCAACTTCATTTTATACTTTTGTGTATAGGCGGTCCTCACCAATCATGACTGAGACTGGCAACTGTCACTAAAGTCTACAATCATTAGTGTGATGTCATGTAGTTGCACTGATTTACATCATCAGTTCTGGTTGTGGTTATTAAGTGAATCATGATGGATTGTTAAGTTGAAATGCCATATGACTGCAACTTCTGCTGACTTTGCTTACCAGAGGACAACTGTAAAGGCCACAAAAGGTGATCATGTGACTGCAGAGATGTTGCTATGGCCCCAGCCTTAAGGGCTGGTCGTAGGTCTTGTTTTTCAGTGCTGGGATAATTTTGAACAGTCATTTGAGTGATAGATAAGCAAGGACCCAAATAACATCCATAGAATTTCTCATGACAAATGGGACTGAATGCAGAATTTTGATTTGATTGTTCCACACCAAAGGTGAGCATACATGAATTAATTTTCATCGGACTAATTATACAACTTTAACATGGACACAATGAAAACAATCTGAGGATATCAGTTCATGAGCTGTTTAAGGGAGTTAGATTATTGCCTCGAAGAGTCAGAAGCTCCACTAACAAAGGATGAACTCAGCTAAAAGGGATAAGGATTCTTCTTTATCCATGACGTAAAAGGCAAAAATAACATGCTCAAATAAATTTTGCCTCTTGAAAGAAAGTCAGTACAGGTAGTCGTCGACTTACAACATTTTGTTTAGTGATCATTCAAAGTTACAACATCACTGAAAAAAGTTAGGGCCAATGAGCATCCCCATGGTCATTTGATCAAAATTCAGACACTTGACAACTGTCTCATATTTATGACCTTTGAAGTGTCCTGGAATCATGTGATGACCTTTTAAGACTTTGTGACTTTGACTTTGAATGGGGAAACCAGATTCACTTAACAACTGTTAACAACTGCAGTGATCCACTTAATAACTGTATCGCTTAAATAAATTTTGGGCTCAATTGTGGTCACAAGTCAAGGGCTACCTGTATTGCAACATTAAACAAATGAATATTTTTAGTAGTAGAGCAAGCAATCAGTCTTCATCTTTTCACTGTTAATTCTCATTTTTTTAAAGTGGCAAGAACTTTATTATAAACATCCAAGAAATACTTTTCAACTTATTTTCTAGCCGTACCGAATGAAATGAAGAAAACAAAGAAGGCCTCTCTTGCAAGCTGCATTTTTATTAATTAGAACTCAACTATAATCCACACATTCTACTCACAATTTCTGGACTGTGATTCATAAACGAGTGCATTGGCTTCTTCTTTCTCTCTGCAAAAAAAGAAAACATAATAATGCAAAAATTATAAAGGGCAATCTTCAACAAAGGACTACATTCATGACTGGAATGAATTATACTGATACTAAAAGCCCATAGCAGCTTGTAGTTATATTTTAGCACTAAAAGACAAAACAATTAGATTCTAATCCTATAGAACTCAATATACATTATAGGTCTTTCATAGTCTTCAAAATAGTAGTTACAATGGATTAGAACAAATTTTGAAAATGTAGGAGTGCTTTATTTTCAAATGAATTCAAAATCAGAAACAAAATCTGAGACAAGCATAGCAGGACAATAGTAATGTAATACTATGGCAAAGTTCCATTAACATCCTTGCCACTGCTTTCTGGGGTAACTGAAATTGAGAAAAGATCCAAACTATTCTGAAATTCAGCTGGTCAACTGCTACAAAAGATTGAATATTTTATCCACATTGCTGCTTGTCACCTTTTTCCTTTTCCTTTCCTGATTATAGACTTCTCCAGAGACTATGTTTCTGCATAATGTGCCCCAGTTATGATAATATGAACCTAATGATTTTCTGCCCAGAGTGAGAAAATTGGATTGATTTGTTCAATATCCATTTATTTGTTTCCTGGCTAACGACTGTATTTTCAGAAGTTTTTTGAACACCAAAGTTCAAAAGCATCCCTACACTTTCTATTTTGTAATTTCAACGTTCACTTCCATGGAATGTCACAGGGAAAACCACTGCATGCACAATTCTGATTTTTGTAGATATAAACAAAAATCAGTATTTTTTAAGTGTAAACATATTCCCGAATCTGAATACCTTTTCCAAGACCTTCATGACTAATCTACCAAATGATAGTCTGTGGCCTATTCTTTCAAGTGCTGGTTCCTTTGCTGTCAATAGACGATCTTAGAAGGAGAAAGCAATCCACCACCTCAGTATCTTTATTTTCAGTTCTAAGGCTGATTGCTGAACCTTTGGTCGAGTTTGCTTTTCTTTGTATTTTAGTTCTACTTTATCATTATGCTCCTTGACTTTCTTTATTAGCACTTGTAGATCACTTGCATACTTGACTACAGGAATAGTGTCATCAATTTTGGATGACCCTGCTGTTGTTATATTTTCCTGAAAAATATTGAGTATTATTTACTCATCCCTCCCAGAAATAGCCTCTTGTTGCAAGGAGGTAGCATAGGAGAATCTGAGGGCATATGGCAGATCCCAATGGAATCTATGGAATAGAAACATATTCTTACTTGCTACAGCTACCCAAGTGAGGAAGGGGGAATTAAGGAGGGAAGAAAGGAATATATTACTCTAACTTACATTACAAAAATGGCATACTTTATTTCATTCCTTTATTATACCACTACTAACTTTTTACATATACTCTCCAACTTTGCCACAAATATTTAATTATAAGAGCTGAAAAATATAATTTATTTTGTTTTGCCTTATATACAGTATAAATGTACTTTCATGAAGCAAGCAATGTTTTTATTACTGAGGTGTGCAAATTAATAATCAAATTATAATATTCATTTACCTTAAGATGTTCACCATTTTTTTTCGTTTTGGTGGTCGCCCCCGTTTTTTTACTACCTTTCCAGGAATGTCTGGAATATTTTTGTGTATCCCGCATTCCCTGGAATATATTGAAATGATACACAAAGTAGCTAAATATACAATAATGGGCCTAGTTTAAAGCAAGAAGGTAAGAAGTGATCATTGACAATTAAAAAGGATTGAAGTAGCAACTGTGAGCCTAGCTAGGAGACTATAACTCTAAAGAGGAGAAAGTATATTAGCTGGATTTGGTGACAAATTAATTTGAGCACAATCAAACATTATGTTACCTTAAAAAATTTGCTTCCTTGGAAGGAAGTACAGGTGCTCTCCCACTCAAATAGCAACTTTCTTACATGTTACAATAGACTACGTTTGAAATTAGTTACCCTAAATCACAGGTGTCAAACTCGCCATGTCATGTTGCCGTCATGTGATGTTTTGTGACATTTTTCCCATTTGTGGAGCTGGGGTGAGCATGGCCTGCACTTGACACATCCAACCCACAGACCGCCAGTTTGACACCCCTTCCCTAAAAGAACCAGAGTACTTTAGTGGCTACAGTTCAGCTTAAATTAGAAAGTGTGGATTCTAGGTCTACCATGGCTTCATTCATTCTTCTTTCATTCAAGAGTGAGCAGCCTTGGGATGGTAACTTTTCAAGCTTTAGTTCCCAACCTGGAACTGAAATGGAACTAAGAGTGGCCTAATTCATATGGGAAAATAAGCAAAACAAAATGATGAAGAATTCTGAAAAATGGACTACTTTAATGATAAGGAATTTCATAAATGTTTGTATTTTGTTGCCTTTGCAAAAAATAGTTTCTTTTAAAATGTTTTTCGCCCCGGTGTTCTGATCCCCGTTTCCCTGTGGGCAAGAATCTATACCTGTCAGTAGTTAGGTCTCCGTTTGGCTTCACAGGTTCCTCTTTGTACATTCGTGTGCCATAAAAATACCAGTAGAGGGCACCATTACTATCCTCACCCAATGGTTCCACTCGGAGGCTGTCTGCATCCAAGCCCTGTGTTTGAAAGCACATACACATAAATGTAAGAGCTTAGAAGTTTCTTGTATTCAAGTTACTCCTCACCACTGGCCTTTGGAGTAGTTATAGAGATTCAGATCTATACTTGCCCCTAAAATGATCAACTGTGCAACTGACAATGAGATTTATGTGCGCTAAACTATTCACGAGAAAGAAACTAATTTAAACTTGCTAATGCCTAACAAAACGTGGCCTCTTATACCTTTCATAGTGAAGCAGCAGGTGGGTGCTCTCTCTTCAAGTGGCAGAATTCTGAAGTTCCACAAAGGCAATACCAGGCTTCACACTGCAAGCAGGTGCATCTTTTCCTACCACAGTTTGGCAGTAACAAGAGAAGCCACACCTGCTTAACTTGTCCTTCCAAGAGCTTTGAAAGGGTCTCTCTCAGTATAATGGTTGCCTGCAGAAGTCTGTTTTAGGGATTATTTCCACTGAGGTATTATGCATAAGGAAACAGTCAGGCAGAAGTGATTACATTTGTACTTAAAAAAAAGATACTATTCTCAAAACTGGATTCCTACTGAAAATGTACAAGGACACTGAAAATGTTCAATTCCGTTGTTTCATGCAGATTATTTTTAGAGGCAAAATTCTAAGTGTTACTAAATTAGCACCTGTGGATGTGATATCTAGCTAATAAACTCATTGTCATATGTAGAAACATGCAGGAGAAGCATTATAGCTCTCTAGCCCCTCCCCCCCAAACCCACAAACATTTATGTGTAGTTCATACTACTCTAGATACCTCAAGGGCGATAATCCTCAAAATTAGTATTTGAGCAGCAAACAAATGCTATGCTCACGTTTGCTTCTTCATTCCCTTCACCCTCACTATTTTCATGCACAGGATTTGGTACTATACTTCCTATTTTAACCAAGCCATGCTTCTTCTGTCATTTCATCTGATCTCCCAAATACAGATTTCAAATAACAGTTTTCCTATTGCAATATTACAGCAAATTGGAAAAGATGCTTTAAATTCAAGTTGGAGAGAGCATATGAATACAGTACTCATTCATAATTTTCCAAATTACATTCTGAAGCCATTGTGAGTTTATAAGCAAGTAATGCAATACATATGCCATTCTGGAACCAACCTCAACCATGTTAGGGCATTCGAAATAGTATTAACTCACAAAAACATTTTTGCAAAGAAACTTATTAAGTATCTTCGAAAAATATGTCTTTTTATGCAAATGTTATTAATTAATTGCAGTCAAAGGCTACAACTATTATCTTGAGTTCTACTTGTTATTACAACTCTAAAAACCATTTAGATTTTTTTAAAAGCCTCACTTCAAGCTTTAGCAACAATGACTGTGTTTTATTAAAGACAGTTATACAGATCATTGGCATATCTCAATGGGTAACTAGCTATCAAGGACAACAGCAGTTCAATTTCCTCAATTCAAGCCAGATTATAAATATATGTTTCACCTCCCTTACCCTGGGAGTTCAGTTTGAAAGAATGACCCAGTACATACATGAAGAAATATAATTAGAGGTTAAGAGACCCAGGAACAGAGATTCTCAATGTCAGGTACTTTCATTACTAATTGTATACAACGGGGGATGCAAAACTGTTGCAATGGATCTTATCTGACCCCAAAAAATGTTATCTTAGTCAAGGAAGGATCCTTGAGTGTTATTGAGATACATAAATCTCCTTCCTTTGACTAAAACGATACTTGGAAACCAACACAAACCACTGAGCCAGCTAAATACAGACCAGTAAGTAATAAATTAAACTACTAGTGTAGTATTTTAAAGCATAAATTTAAATCACAAGCAAACACTTAAAACTTTTTACAGTCAGCTTTCTCTACGTTGTGCAACTTGAAAAGTAATAGACACCCAAAATAATCTTTAACATTTTAAATAAGATTATTAGCACAAAGGAACATGGAACATTGTTATACTGTATGTGATGTGATGCTTAATGGTGGGAAGTGTATATTACATTTTCAATGTTCCTAATCCAGTATCTGTCATTATTAAACATACCTTAAGCAGGTCAAAAACATCATCAGCATCAAGTCGGTAATCACAAAGACGATGTAGTATCTCCACACGGGTACGTAAGGGAAGTTCCTGAAAAGTACATTCTCGCAAGGGGTTGGGTTTTCCTTCTTCCAATTCCCAGCGATAATTGATTATATCTTCAAGATACCCATGAAATGTCTGGGTTCTAATAAAGATAACAAATGGCCTTACAATTACTATACAGAATTTGACCTATCCATCATTTCACAGATGATTGCACACAGAAGGCAAGGAAAATATTTCCAGGTTGTCCAGTTCCTTGCACAAATTAAACAGCATGTTTCACATTTTTTGCAGAATAATTTATCTAAATAAAATTTGTTTATCTTTAAGGAAGCAGAAGGATCTAAAGCTCATAAAAACTATTTGATAAATTGAAGTTCCCAATGATAAATGACTGATTACATGGTCTATAAAATATTATTAAGGGAATAATTTTTTAAAATTACTTAATCAGAAAGAAAGAAAAAATCAATGAAAATACTTATCAGTTTTAAATATTATATAAATTGGTTATCTTAAGAATTAAATGAAATACTTCAGGAAAAGTTTTCTATTTGATTCCTCTACATATTATACCTATTAATGAATTTTGACTTTAGGCTACAAAATAAGTAAGCAAAAAATTATAGCAATTTAAGGAAAATAAGATAAAATTATTACACTTAGTCAACATGTTTGAATATATCAAACAGAACTTTTCATCATTTCTGCAATTCTCAGAAACATCACTATATAAAATGAATTAATCTGGACCACACTCCTATTATAAACTATTATATTATTATTCTAATGTTTATTCAATATTGACCTTTCAAAATGTTTCCCTTTCTCCTCTTTTAAATCCACTAGTAGTGGCTTGAACAAGCTGAATTTCCAAATGCATCCAAATAAGAGAAACAATGTTTGCACAAGTATGATTAACTTTAAATTTATATAACAGGATCAATCAAATGAAAGCAACTAAAGGATTACAAATTATATTTGGTATGTGGTACTTGTGGCATAAGGAATTCATAAGTTCACATGTTTAGCTATCTTCCTCAACTGTTATTTTTTCATTAGAACAAAACTAGGTAAGGGAGATGGTGTCATAGAATTGTAATTTTAAAATTATACTTTAATCTAAGTAAAATAATCTATATTTTACAAGCAGTATTGCATTCCTATTACTAAACTTCATTTTCATGCTTCCATAAACAATTACATTTTTCCTCATATAAAATCTAGTGATTTATCATCTCATGAAACTGCTGACATCAGCAAACCAATTAAGACACTCCAGGTGATTTCCTCAAATTTCAAAACCCTCAGTGATAAATGAAACCCACTCTTTCTGAAGCTACTATACTAGTTAAGGGGTCATCAATGTGATTGATGTAACAAGAAATCTAATTACACAACAATTTTTAACTTGGAATCCTTATGTAGCCAATTAATTAAAACATTGCTTCCAACCCCGCCCCCCCATGAGTTGATCAAATCACAACCTATTTATATATTGTTCTTAGTTGTACTTGGAGCATCAATTAATGAACACTTTTATTTTAATTAAATATATTTTAAAATCCAATTAATTGATTAAATTTAAATTATGTTATAAAACCACATGAACAAACAAAAATGCAGAAAGGAAAAAAATACAATATATTGTAACAATCAATTGCAAGAAATGAGAGTTTATATTAACCAAATATTTTCAATAGCACTTTTAAAAAATGGAAACCCCACCCCATTTTAGTAATTCCTGAGAAAAAGCACATCCTTTTGTTAACTTTTTTTAAATAATCCTTTAATTTTTCCCGTTTTATAAGAGCAAGTTTAATCAACTGATGTAGGAAGGACTAAGAAAGACAGCAGCTGAATAATTGCAAGTTGCTTTTATTTTTATTAAAAACTAACATTTAAACACATTGCTTTCATATAAAAATCATTTCAGAAGTTTCTACTGGAATAGAAAAAAAATCTTAATTCAAAGACTATATCCCTTTAAATTAGAAGAAGATACATATAACTTGTCTCTCTCTGAAGTAAGAGTGTTTTTCAAGTAACAACAATGGTCAGAAATGCTTTATTCTGATGTGCTTGGCAATATTTTTTAGGAATTAGATTACAAGAAATTTAAGTGACCTAAGTCAGATACCATTAGTAGGTCAGAAGAAGGAACAACTGAATCAGGAAAAGGGGGAAAAAACTCTAAGGAATAGTTCATACTCTCTTACCTACAGCAATCCATCAAGCATTGTCAAAAAAACAGCTTGCTTCTGATTAAGGTCAACCTAATCTGAGTTACTGCCACAGGTCTGACCTCAAAGAGCAACAATGGAGTTATTCTCTTATCTTTGGTTGAAGGGGGGAGAGTTCAAAAGAAAAGTCTTGTAGAACAATTCTAACACTCTTAAAAATATAAAGTGTTAAGTTACCTGGTGTCAGCAGAGAGAAAAGAAATGAAAAATGGAAAAAAGCTGTTATGAATGAATAAAGCAATTTCTGACTGATAAGCAGGCCTGGAACCTAGTTGGAAGGGGTGTAGATTGGGGTACCCAACCCTAGGGCTGCAGCCCTTTACTGGGCTGTGACCTATTTGCAACCAGGCCATGAGAATGGCAGGCCGGCACACACACACATGTGCAGCTCAACTCATGCAAGCGGCGGACTGGCACACACGCATAGACACAGTTCAACTTGCATGAGTGTGCTGGCCTGGTTCCCCTCTACCCCGCCTCCCACCGCCAGGCCACAAAGGTTGGGAACCACTGGTTTAGATAACCCATTTCATCCAGGACCCTCTAAAGCTGCCAAACAACCACTTTGTCTACCTAAAAATGGAAAGTAGAAGCTGGATGGAAATTGGATCCATTCCTAATAACTGGTGGGATTCAGTTAACAGCAACAGGAACGACTGAATCGACTGAAACGATTCCCATTGTTATGAAATGTGGTCATGTGACATTTTACTTTACAACCATATTGCTTAGCCACAGAAATTCCAGTTCCAATTACTGTCATTAACTTGAGAGCTACCTGTCTAAACATTAGATAGTTTAGGAAGCTCACTATATGAGCTTCACTGATGTAAAAAGGATTTTGATTTTTTTGGTCAGAGACCATATCTTTGTCATGGAAATAAGAATACATTTTAAAAAAAATAGATGAGTGGTGAAAAACAAATACTTTGCTTGAAAGAACAAATGCCAAAAGGAATTTCACACAAAAATTATTCATAAAGATGAATATAGACCAATTTTCCAAACATGCCATTATAGGTACAACTAAGGAAGAACATGTATTCACATGTTCTTCAGAGTGTCTTCATAAAAAATACCTTTACTGTAGTTTTTAACTTTTAAAGGATTCCGAGACGCCACTCTGTGCCTGAGGTACATTTTCCCTTACAGAAGCCGTGAGTTAAACAAGATAAGGTTGCTCCCCTAGAATTTGATAAGAAAATCATTTATACTGTAGATACAGTATACAGGTAGTCTTGATTTATAACCATTTGTTTATTGACTGTTCAAAGTTACGATGACACTGAAAATAGTGACATGGCTATTTTTTTTACATGACCTTTGCAGCATCCCTAAGGTCACCTGATCAAAATTCAGCCTCTTGGCAACCAGGATGTATTTGTGACAGTTGCAATGTGCCGGGGTCACATGATTACCATTTGTAACTTTCCCAGCTGGGTTCCAACAAGCAAAATCAATGGGGGAAGTCACTTTACCACCAAACGATTCATTTAACAACTGCAATGATTCATTTAACTGTGGCAAAAAGGTCGTAAAATAGGGCAAATCCCAATTAATAACTTCCTTGCTTAGCAACAGAAATTTTGGGTTCAGTTGTCATTGTGAGCACTACCTATATTGTATCATAGATATTGTCTATTTCCAATGTATACACTCATTCACTCACTTATGGTTCACTCACTTGGAAATCTTGACAAACGGAATGTTGAATTCATAAACATTTTCACTGTTCCTTTTTGTTCTACATCCTCTTCATCTAAACCAGTGGTTCCCAAATTCTTTCACCACCCCCTTAGTGCTACAAACTCATCCTCAATGCCCCCACACCCAGAGACGGGATTCAAATTTCTGTGGGCATGGCCTAATTTGAGGGGGTGGTCATGTGACTGGGTGGGCGTGGCTTGCTGGTCATGTGACTGGGTGGGCGTGGCTTGCTGGTCATGTGACTGGGTGGGCATGGTTTGGCGACTGGCAAACCAAATACAAGTGGTCCTCACTTAATGGCCAGTTGCTTAGCAAGTGTTCTAATTTATGACTGGCCTCCCCAGAACTACTTGACTGGTTTTTGGAGTTTTGACAGCCATGCACGCATGCACACACACATACACACACACACACACACACACACACACACCCTTCTAATCCTGCTGGGGCAGATCATTGGGCTAGAATCGGCAACGCATCTCTGATTAGATTCTAGTAATGAATAATCTAATCAGAGATGCTTTGCTGATTCTTGTTGATTTGTTTTATTTGCATTTCTTTATTTTATGTTGCTGAATTACATTGACATGTGTGTCCCTTCTTGTGCACAACCCAGAAGCTTTTGTGATTCTTTGCAGCAAAAATTACCGACCTGTCTTTGCTCTACTTTTCACATGCCACCACTGCTGCATTCGATTCTAGGTGCCGGTCCTGCAGCCCCCCCACCAATTGAGCCCGCCTCACTGTAGGGAAGTACCGCAGGTCCACCCCATTGAGGCCGCTGCACTGGAGGGACCTGCCCAAGCAAGTTTGAGCGGAGTGGTGCAAGTCAATAGGGTGATCCTGCGGGGCCTTGCCCCGAACGCGGCAGCAGTGAGACGTTTGAAAAGGAGAGCAACACTGCATTCGGACGAGGTCCTGCACGCTTACGCATTGAGCCCCTTGCACCAGAGCATGCAACTCAATGGGGTGATCCTGCAGGGCCTCGCCTCGAACGTGGCTGTGGCGGGATTTTTTTTCTCACCCCTGAATTGTGCCCTGCGAGGGGTCCACCTCCAGTGCCCCCCTGCCACCTCTTAGTGCCCCTCTGCTGGCCCCCTTACCTCTTAGCACCTCCCCTAAGGCATCCCACTTCCCCCCATGGAGCAGTACCACCTACTTTGGGAACCACTCATCTAAACTATTCTGTCACCATCAGATACTAATGCTGGAACACAATTGTCAGCAAAACAAAAAGGGGAATCAGCATCACATATCAGGCTGATTCTTTAACTAGTAAAAGGGTAGTTTAGAGAAGTCAATCATAAATATTTAAAAACTGCCTAGATTTTCAGTGAACACTGTCACTTACTAAAAGGATGAAAAAGATCTCTTTTATCTTCCCTCTCTTTTATTTATCCTCAGTTAAATACCAGCGAAGAAGTCTCTAATTGAACTCTATTACTTTGGTATAGAATGTACAAGCAAGAGAAATCACACATACCTGTTACTTTGAACTAAACTAACAATTTCCTTTCAGACTCAGGTCTAAGTATAAGCATAAAGCTTTTCTATTTGCATAGCATTAAAGAGGGCAAAGCCATCTAACAGCAGGTATCTGAGGAGACTTAGAGTAGGCTCTGTGTTACTTATCATACACATAGTAATTATCTTTTCAAATCTTTCAAAAATATTAATTTACTCATCTGCTGAATGATTATGGACCAAAATAGAATTACTGAATAATTAAAGAAAAAAATGCAAATGGTGGCATTTAGTATAAATTTATAAAAATAAATTTATTACGATGTTGTTAAATTAATCTCAAGAGAGACAAGAGAATATTAAAGCAGGTAGAAAGTTTTAATACCTGGATTAATACAAAAGCTAAGAATAGAAGGGTCAACAAATGAAATAGTGAATGGATAGAAAAAAATTGGATTGATCTGATTATAATTCTTAGCAGATTGTATGTGGGTGTGTGGGTGTGGGTGAAAAATTAGGTCCAATGAATTCAGGATTTCCAGTCTAAAGTATTGCTCCAAGAGTTCTAACCACAATTGGTATTATAATAACATTTATTTTCCATAAGGATTCAACTTCAATCTGCAAGTCCCACTATTTCAATTTTTTTCCAATTTTTCCCCCCTCAATCCTAGCATCACTTGAGATGGCAAAATCAATGAACCAGACTTCCTTCTTTTCACTAACGGTTATATCAATCATTATTGTTACAATAAATTTCATGGCATAACTGAGCCAAACTTATGCAACGTCTGTCTGAAAGATCTTGTGCAACATCTGTTCACAGATTGCAAATGGAAGATGAGCAACAGGGGCAAGCCCTATATGTGTGGGTGGCTGTTGTGTGGTTGTTTAATTCTAGACAACCATAACTAAAAGAAGCTTGCTGAAATCATCCAAATATTTCAGACCTGTGATATGAATCTGAAAGCTGCAAAGAGAATCAAAGTAAAACAGTAGTTCTACATACTCTAGAATTCTCTTTATACTTTTCTTTAGAACTGAAGCCTGCAAAAGGCTTGTCTATTTTTTCCAGAAGCATACAATGGGGGGGAGGGGGGGGAGGATAGAATATCCCTTAATTTTAGGAATCTATAGAACGAGACTACTCACGTAATATCACTGCGCTGGTAGCAGCCCTGAAGAAGACCAGCAATCAGGTCACTGATGAACTCCACATCATCATTGTAAAGAGCTGCTTCAAGTTCCTAATGAGAAAAAGAATGAGTAAATAAATTTCTAAATTCTTTCCTGGCTGGTGAAAAAAGATTGGGCAATTTACATGCAACTACGATAATCAACATAAGAACAATAATTTGTATTGTTTGTATATTTTGTACATTTTTCCATCCTCGGTATCAACATCAAGAAAAGAATTGGGGAAAAATGGAAATGGAAGAAAAAACATCTGAATATTACATTCAAAGTGTTAGAAAAGGGGTCTCAAACATCACATTGCAGAATATATTACTATTCTACATTAGGCAACATACATTTGCTTTCATTAACCATCAATAGTCATTTTAATTTATTAATTATATTATTGATTTAATTGTTCATAAGTACATTTGTTGCATTATTGTATGTGAATAAATGTGGTCCATTAATCAGTACATTTTATATAAAGTGGCCTACAGATACATTTGAGTTTTATATTCCTGTATTAGAAAACTGATTAATCTCACAGCATAATTAATGGAAATGGATATGAATATATGGAACTGAAGGTGGTTCTGAATAACGTAATAATATATTAAATTTATATACTGTTCAACCCTAGCAACTCTGGACAGTTTACATATTGTTAAAAACATTTCAAAAAAAGTACCAATACAAGAAACAAAGGAACAAAGATGGCAGACAAAATAAACCCAGATGGGTACAAGGAAAAGGAAGAAAAGGGTGTCCACTATCTCATCAAAAGCCTGTGAAAAGAGCCATATTTTCAGGCTCTTTGAAATGCCAGTAAAATAGGGCTTTCGAATTACAGGGGAAACATCATTCTGGGGTTGGGCGTGCATAGAGAAAGTGTGCTCTAGGATCCAAAACGGTGGCACTGTTCAATTGATGGACCAAATGTGACAGAGTATAACATGAAGAAAAAATGCATGAAAATAAGTAGAATGTTTGCTGAAAGTTCAGCATTAAGCAGAGAATTGTATACTTATGGTTCCTTGCATACTTATGTTAAATGTATAAAAAATCTTGTTGCCTTTTGGGTTGTTTGAGAACATGCAGTAACATAATTCTGCAAGCAGATTATGCTGGAGAACCTGAATGATTTGATCATATGACAGAAAAAATAAATATATTGAAGACCATCTTTGTATTTATGCCAATAATAATGGATTAAGCAAAAGCAAGTTATGCATAAATGTTGAATAATCAGAGTGGGTGAATCTACTTTGGTAGATTATTTACAAAAAGGATGAGGGAGTGGTTGGAAAAACTTTTAAGAAGAGAATATGATTCTGCATACTTCGTTACATAGAAATGAGAGTTGGTATGATAGGAAAAACATGATAGTGGGAATGATGAAACAAAAAGGAAAAAAATAAACAAATTGGTAATCAATTAATATGAATAGAATATAAAATGAGTAATTAATGTCAAAGAAGGATGTGAAGATGTTCAAAGAAATAAAAGAGCATCAATTGGCAAAACAAATGCAAAACTTGAGAATTAAAAATAGACCAAGAAGGTTTTGGATGGACGGTGTTGATGAGATTCTGAAAAAAGAGCGCCATGAACTGTGAACACAATATAGGAATATAGGAATATGGCTATAGAAAAATTAAAAAAATGATTTACAAAGATAGAATGGAATGGAAAGTATAGTGAATGCTCTAAACAGATTTGGTTAATGTGGTTTTTTTCCTCTTTTTTCTCTTCCCCTATTTTTTTTACTCTTTTTTGTGTCTTACACAATATTGCTTTACTTGAAAGAGATTAACATGAGAGGTATATAAATTTGCTATTGTTGATATTACTGTTTTATTTTAAAATAGCCAGTTTTATAGATGTTGAGGCACTTGGTTAGAAAGCTGGGGACCATGAGTTCTAGTCCCACCTTGGGCATGAAAATCAACTGGGTAACTTTGTCCAATCACTCTCTCTCAACCCACCCACCTCACAGGTTTGTTGTTGTGGGGAAAATAGGAGGAGGAAGGAGTATTAGTACGTTCACCACCTTGGGTTATTTAAAAATAATAATAAAAGTGTGATTTAAAAAAGTAAAGAAATATAGTAAATTATTATTACTATTTAAGCATCTCTTTAAAGTTTTCACCCTATTTATCTTCAAATCAATAAAGTTTCTCTTGCATTATGTTTTTGCACTGTTTTCATTTTGCCTTTCCAATTTCCCATTTTAAACTTTGTTGTTTAAGGATGCTTTATAAGCATATACATGAACAAAAAACAGTTCATATATATCTTTTCCAAAATGACCTTCCTCTTCCCATCCTTCTAAGGCAGGGATCTCCAAATCCCGGGCCACAGCTTGTTAGGAACCGGGCCGCACAGCTCGAGGTGAGTGGCAGGCAAGCAAAACCAAAACCACCACCACCACCACCAGCAGTCCATGAAAAAATTGTCTTTCATGAAACCAGTGCCTGGTGCCTTTGACTGCTGCACTAGGAAAATCTAATATGTTCTCTTGAAAAACACTGAGGAAAAAACTCTAAAACTATCTGTATTATTCTGTGGCCAGATTTACTCCCATTCTTTTCTTAGCTTATGGATCTTAGTATATGTTTGCAGTTATATAGAATATTTAATGACAGATGTTTGATTGCAAATGTCCCACTGAAAACTATGGCATATATATGGTATATAGCTTTCTATAAACCTGATTTTTAAAATTGAAAATTCTTGGCTTTAGCATATACGTGTGACTATGTGGGCAATATTTAAAATCTCAGAAGCCAGAAGAGTTTCTCACCCAATGACAGATGTCAGCTTTCAGTGCTTTTAAAAGTCGTCATGTTCTCAGCATGATCAAAAAGTCAGAATGCTTACCTGTAACTGCAGTTCTTCAAGTGGTCATCTGTGCATTCATACAGATGGTTGGTGCATCTGTGCACATCAGAATCTTCTAGTGCTTTGCAGGCCATTTTAGCAGAAGCTCACCCTCTAGCACACATGCTCCTGGATATTGTTTCCATCCGTCCCCTCAGTTTTTCAAGATCATCATAGCTGCTCTTAGGAAAAAAGGCTCCTTAGCAGAAGTATCTGCAGAGGGGAAGTTGTGTGAATTATGTAAATGCCAGATGACCACTCAAAAACGACAGTTACAGTTATGCAACCTGTTTTTTTTCTTCTTCATGATCTTTGTGCATCAGGCATTTGACCCTCAACCATTGCGGCCAAGTTGACAGGTGTTCCTGCCTGGAGGGTTATAATATGAGTTCTCAATTGCCCAATAATTTTGGTAGCTGCTTTTAGTTATATTGTTTAATTTTGACTGTATGCTGTACAGAGTCATGATTGTTTGATTGGACAGCCATATAAATCTGAAAAATAGATAATCACAATGGTGGTATGGACGAAGTTTTAGTCATGTGAGATGAGAAGACTTTCCTACTAATGTAAGAATTCACTCTTAATCTGACATGTTGAATTAAAAAATACAATTGTGAGTAAGTTATGGCTTTATATGAAACAAGTAAGAAAACAACTGACGTAAGAGAAGGAGTTGCAGGTCCAAGAGTGGAGTTAAAAGAAGGATCATCTTAGAATCCCTATGTAGCCACCAGTGGATTAGGTCCAACCCCCCTTGAATTCTCTTGACCCTTACCTAATTCCAAGTAGGTGCTATTAGTTGGGAAGATACCTCTGCATAGGCATTTTAACAATAAATCATTTTAATTGGATGTGTGGATTCATGTGTGGATTTGATCTTTTGCAACTAACAGCCACAAGAAAGGTTGCTGAAAAAATATTGGCTAGATCTGAATAGAAAGAGTTCCATCTTTTGGAAATTGACATAAGAATGGGTATATTTATTAATGACCCAGAAAACAGAGAAAAGACACATGAAATTATAAAAGTGAGCAGTCTGCCTATATAAAGACTCAAATTTTATGCATTTCAAATATGTAGATAAAGTATTTCAATAACTTTAGATGGAGTTGAGTAGAAAGTAGCAAACATGATAGGAATAAAATTCTGGAACAATTTTAGGAAATAAATTTGTTCTAATGTTAAGCATCAGTTTTCTATGTTAAGTATGAAAAAAGATCAAACAACTCTAACAGTGTATACCTCATTGACCTGACAAGCCAAAATGATTGTAACAAGGAAAGCAGCATTAAAAGTTGGTAGGCAATATGTATCTGCCAGAAGAGTAAATATTTGCTAGTAAATATGGCTTATAAGAGACTGAGTGAGAGAATTTCATGCTGAATATGAGAATACAAATCTAGTATTCTTTTTAGAGGAGTGAGAGAAAGTATCAGAAAATGGGAGAGGACTAGATGATAAAAAGTAGCAAAAGTTGCCAAATACAATAGGACTATAAGACAGTGGAACGGTGGAAAATCTACTGTAAGAGATAGTTCTTCAAGCAAATAAAATAGCTCAAAAGCTAAGATCAGCAACACAACATAATAACTTTCATGATTATCAAGCATACAAAAAAGTGTACTTTCCTGCTAATTCTTTGGGTGACAAATGTATTGCAAAGAACAGACCTGTGTGTGTGATTTTATAGTTTTATAGGTTACTAAATGTCTATCTGCTCAGACAATCAAGCAAATGACCTTGATATTGGTTAAAAATTGGAGGAACAAATCAAAACAATACTGCTTTTGATGCCAACCTAACCAAAAAGACATGATCAATACTTTCCAGAAGAATGTTCAAGGAAGCAGTAAATAGTAGTGATGTGGGTTTCAATTTTCCCCAACATCTTGCTGAGAGACAGTAAGCCAAGCATAGTCTAAAGGCCCTTTCCCTTCCATTGAAGTCCTATCTTTTCCAGATGACATGGACTTAATTATTCATAGGGATGACATTCCAGTATGCAACTATGGATAACTGACAACTTGAACCTGTGGGAATTGAAGGATTAAGTTTGAACCCTCAAAAATGCTTGAAAAAAAATAACAAAAAATAAAAATCAGAATTGAGAATGGTGTACCTTGGCCACCTTATATTTTGTGCTTCCCATATCTTCTTTTAGCCAAAATAAAGAATCCAAAATAAA